TACCGTTCCCCTCCCTAAATGTACTTACGCTTTAAACCTACCTACCCAACATCTTGATTATTTATTTTAATTAGTGTATCTTTACTTTTATAATAGGCCTTTTAAGTGTATCCTTACTGTAATAATAGGCCTCCATCTCATAAACGCCAATTGCAGACCCCTCTCCCCCATCCGAACGTATGTACTAAATGGACGATCCCTTAATAATAAGTTATTCTTAATGCAAGCAAAACCTTTTTTACGAATAAAATGAGGGATGGGGAGCTCATAATAAGTGACGAGAAAAGAAATTTAATTAAAGTTGTATATTTACATGAAACCTCATAAAAAACTAATAATTTCTCATAACTAAAACTAAGCCGACTGAATTATTCTTAATTCTCGACTTCGTTTCTCAAAAACAATTTTAACTAGAAAATTGCGTTCTTTATGTCAATACCCCCTCCCCAAAGATTTGACACATTAGTTTTCTTAAAAAAGTAACTAACAAATTTAAAATAATTGAAAATCTAGCAATAGGAGATCATCAGAACACCATTAAGGGATCATCCATAGACTACATACACTCAGACGGGGGAGAAGGATCTGCTAATGGCGTACACGAAATGGGAGAAAGGTGGTCAACTATTAAATTAAGAAGACACTAATTTAAAAAATTTGGTTAAGGTTTAAAGCGTAAGTACTTTTAAGGAAGTAGCGGGTACTCAAAAAAGAATACAGCGAAAAAGAGGACGGGTAGAAATAAAAGCGTACGTACTTTATGGACGACCCATATGCAAAATTGTTTATTTAGGTTTGCAAAAAATTTAAAAGAGTTAAAACAAGCACAAAGCATTCCAAGTTACTCGATATGATTAAATGCTTTTCCGCGGTGCTCCGTGATAAGACCGCAAGGACTTCTTGGAGCACCTAAAAAAAAAAAATCTCGATATGATTGTAAGCCAAGTATTAAATAAAATGACTAAACGGTTGACTTAGAGCCGGACCAGCATACACAACCAATATGTTGAAAGGAGATAGAAACATTTACGAATGAAAGACGTTTTAAGAGATGGACGTTTAAATCATTGTTTAAGAGACAAAATATGCGCGCTTGTAATTGATTTAAATAACAATAGCCAAACAATAGGAAACATTTGCGTCACGTGAAAATACATTTATACAATTATACATCGAAATGATCACTATCTCATCCAATGATAATAAACTTAATGTCTAACTTAAATCCGAAAGGTGAAGTAACTTTTTCCCTTTTTACAAATAGCGAATTAAATTTGTTTAAAAATATTTTTAACTTTGCTTTGCTTAAATGAAGTAAATATGTATATCAAATTTAAATACTATTTATGTAAAAGTGACAAGAGGAAATTAGAATACTTGCAAAATAATTTTTTATAAAAAAGAATCATCGGGCTTGGTTTTTTCGCTGTAAACATTTATATTTTATGATACCGTAAAATTTATCATTTTTATTATTTGTCTTTTTTCATTCACAGACGTGATCACTTAACGGAAATATGTCGTAGTCAACAAAATATCATACAGACACTATATTTTAAAATTGCCTTAACTACACCGAGTACTATTTTGAGGCATTTTTATGAATAAAAATACTTTTTAATAAAAATAGGCTCATAAAAAACCTTAAAAATAATTTTAGATATTTCAAATGATAATTTCAATTTTGATAAACATTATTTTACAATTATTAAAACGTGTTACTTAATTATCTTTTATTTATTAGGAACTTTTGATTTGCATTTATAACTTTTGTTCCACACATCGGCTTCAGCCTTTATTCATTTGGCTGACAGTTATCAACAAATAAAAGAGTCATTGTCCGATAATAGTCTATAACATATGTTTATTGGTCTCATCTATCCAATAAAATAACTTTAATATGTAAAGTACCGTAGTTAATATATTTAGCTAATTTGTTTAAAATTTTCCTAAGCACTAATTTTTTTTTTTTTTATATATATATTTAAAATAATAAATATTTACAATTTTATAATATTACATTATCTCCGATTTATATATTATTGTTACAATATCTAAGTTTTACAACTTTTTCTATAATTATATATGTATTTTTCCGTTTTTATATTTTTTATTTTTTTGTGCTTTTATTGTTTTATATTTTTGTTTTTGTTTTTGTTCTTTGATTTTTTTTTTTTTTTTTTTTTTTTTTTTTTTGGGAAGTTGTGCGGAAAGAAATCGAAGTTTTATAAGTAAGATTTTAGTTATAGGTTAAAGGACTATTTGCAAAGATAAGAAGATGTGATAGAAAGAAATTAATTAAAAAAATTACAGGAATATAACACAACGATAACTTTACGAATAAAACAGATAACACTTATAAGTTAAAATTATATGTCATAAAATATAGGCTGGCAGTGATTTTCTAATTATAAATAATAATACTTTTGATGTAAAGAATAATCATTTGCAGAGAGCGGAAAGTCTTTGCTAAACATATTGTTCTTTCTATGAGCCAGTGTGTTTGTTTGGCTCATATGTTTAGTTTTATACTCCCGTTCTCTACTTGGCAGAATAAATTATTTATACAAAAAAGTTGACAGAAAATGTCAGCAGTGTTTCTACGGACATAATAATTATATTTTAAAGTAATAATATTCCTGATGTTCCTGATTATTACCCTGATTACTGCCATCGGATCGATTTTGGAATTGTTGTACATATGGTGGCATCTGCTGTTCCATATCTCACTCATGATGGTTTGAGTGAGAGTCAAAAGCAGCTGCGAGGTAGGATTTTTTTTCCGATAAATTCGCTGTTTGGATGAAGAACATCGAATTTATCGGAGAAAAATTGTTTTGGGATGTCAAGGAGTTACATACATGTTTAAAATACTCCCAAATTTCAACAGAGGGAGGACAGTAGGCAAAGATGTGTATGTTGTCCTCGATTTTACCACAAGTTTTGCATTTGTTGTTTTTAACGATCTGTTGCCTTGTGCTTTTGGCTAGCAAGGCCGCAGAAGGTAGACTGTTGTGTAAAAATCGAAAGAGGATGTTTTGAGTCGGTACGCATGCGTGGGAGGTAAAGTTCTTTTTCCAAATTTGGGTCCACGGCATTGTAGTTTTTGTTGAACCGTTCCAGAAAAGTTCTGCTGTAACGTCTTTTTGTTTTTGCCACTTCTAAGTAAAAATTTTTTGTTGATTTTAGGGGGATGTTAAACAGGGACCCGTTTTGACCTAAAGCTTCTATTGTTGTTTTGCAGTACTGAGACATTTTGTTGTCCCAGTGTTTTGGAAAATTGTTCTGTTTCAAAAAGTTCCAGCTTTGGTTTTGGTTCGTATATTTTATAAGTGAACTTGCCAACCAATACTTTGAAAAGTAGTAGCAATCGTGAGTTTGGTCCTCTTCGCATTCTTTCAATTGAAAGAGTGTTTTGAGGCGAAGTGCAAGACTTTGTTGCTTTGGAGATAAAATTCCGAGACCCCCGCTTTTGACGGGTAAAAAAAGTGTCTCTCATTTGACCGGATTGAAATTGGTCTTTTGACACAGATTTTCGAAAATGGCTCTATGCAAACGGTCTATTACCCAATCGGGAGTAGGCAACACGTTTGATTGAAACCAAACTTTTGACATTCCTAACGCATTTATCAACATAGTCTTTCCCCTAAGTGACAAAGTACGTAGTCCCAGAAACTTGAGTTTTTTCTCTATTTTGTTTAGAGTTACTAACCCGATGAAATTGGTAGAATTACTCAGTCTGGTGTAAAACGTAACACCTAAAATTTTAAAACCGGTGTTATTGCTCCACTCTATGCTGTCCAATTCAAGGTAAATTTTAGGATTAAAACCCCCAAGAGCGAGACCCTTGGTTTTGGAGGCATTTAGCACTGAACCACTTACTTTATCAAATAGTTTTACTGTTTCGAAAAAAAAGCGGACTATACGTCCCTGGCAAAAAAGTTCGAATCGTACTATCTCTCTATTGTTGTATGTAAAAAGACATACAACAATAGAGAGATAGGGTCGCTCTGTCTAACTCCCCTTACGATAGGGATAGAGGCCGCCAAGAAACCGCAATTCAGAACAGACGCCGAAACCTCTGAATATAGGGTGTTAACATAGGATACAAAATTTTCTCCTAAGCACTATCCATTGTCAATTAACTTTGAAAAAAATGGCCGTCAAAGGGTTCCCACTATTAAAACTAAGGATCTTAGAGATATTATCCTAATATTTTTTTCGCCGCGAATGACAATTTTTTGAAAGTGAGAATACGATTGCATTATTAAAAAGATCTAATTTTTTTTCAATAAAATTAAAATGTAAACAGAGTATTGTGAATATAATATATTGAAAATGTTTGTCAACATTAAAGAACTATATATTTCACTCTTTATTAATAACACAGTTCAACAATTTGTTAAAAAATATCTCCTTCTTATGAGGATTTCAAAAACAAAAAAACAATTGGTTCAGTTATAATTATAAATCAGAGATCCTCCAGCCTTTAACGACCTTTTTTGGGGGAACTTATAAAGAAATCCATTATGATAATAAATCGGTCAGAGACGATTTGTTGTAACTACCCATCAGATACTGAATAATAGATGAGCTGAATAATAGATGAGCTGTGTAATTAATAGATGAACTGAGAAAATACAATAATAACACGTGAAAATTGGCGGCGCTTTATAAATATATAACTATACTAATCCATTAAACGTTGATCTATTAAAACGTCCTTGGTCAATTTCACCTGTCAGTAATATTAAAAAAAAAATTTGAATAACCTTAGCTAAAAACAGTTAAGTCAATCCCTAACCCCAGCACGCTATTATTGTCCAGTCTTTATTTACATTAGTACAACTTTAATAACTTTTTTCATTAGCAAAGTAGTTAGTACGACGACACATTTGAAAACCAAAGAGTATTGTACAATTAAAACATTTAAAATGCAAAGCCCGCTATGTTTTAATAACAGGTTTTTTTAATAGTTTTAAAATTAAGAAAATAAACCATTTGTTGTACAGTATTTAGATTTATTTGACAAATGATCTTTATTAACCGCCTAACAAAACAATCACATGCCAGATTTCAATATAATCTAAAACAAAAAATTAAAAATAAATAAATAAAAAATTAAACAAAAAAACTATAATAAAAGGAGAACTAATGATGATACACATAATACTAATAACACAAAAATTGCACAAAACACTAAAGACTAAATTGAAATTATATTACAGTAGATTTACTTGAAGAGTTATGCATATTCGACATCTTAATAAGTGAATATTTTATTTATAGAAGCAAAAAGTTTAGAGCTAATAACAATTAATAAAATTTTTTATACAGCATACTTATTAGGCGTTTTAATTTCATTTAACTACACAAATAACCAAATTTTTTATAATTGCAACAGCATAGTTTGAAACCAAAATGAGTAAAATTGAAATAAAAAAAGACTTTTACACAAAAACTATTATTGAGTACCATTTGCTAAGAATACCTGTATGTTATAATCTGGTTTTAAATACTTAATTGGGGTAAAAAAATTTACTTACTGTAAGGGGGGTATATATGCAATAAAAACTAGAGATAAGGTTTAAAGATCAAATTTAAGAAAGGCCACACTATTTTTTTAGACAAAGGTCATTTAAAATATTATCAGAATGTGAAAAGAGAGAATTACGTGAAAAGTACTTGATTTTACTTTGACACAAAATCATAAAAATAAATCAATAGCAGACTTCAATTTATCATGTCAACTTATATCACTTAGAATAAATTAAAAAGGTTTAAAGAAATAGTAGACTTTTCAGAATATATCATGAATAGGATACATGAACATATAGACACAGACCTATTATAGAAACAATTGACTGATTTAAAAAATTTTGCAAAGTAGAAGAAAAAAAAATTGAATATTATTTTTATTTTTTAAAAAGCCTATAAAGAATAATAAATTATAATAGAGCATATATTTACAAATTCATATCTTAAAAAGAACTAAAATACATAAACCACCATAAAAGACAGCTCATTAAATAATATCACTCATAAAATCAAGTGAAGGGGAATCAATTTAATCATGGCTGTAGAAAATAGTAAGTAATATAAAACCTAACCAACCTTTGCTAAACTAACAACAATTTCAGTTATGAAGCAAATAAGGATGTACATATACAAGCAAATAATGCTTAGTAATGTAGTGACCCTTTAGTTATGAAGCTGATGAAATGCTTGAACGTCTACAGATTGCAAGCTGAATTAGTTTGGGAATACCAATGATTAAAATAAAAGATTTTGTAAACTTCTCACTATACCTATTCATCTTCGTCTTCTTCATCGTTTCCTCCACTGCCACCTTTCTTCATGTTTTTTCTTGAAACACGTCCTGGTCGACCACCACCGAATGGTGAATTAGTACTGAAATCTATGTGCTTTTGAGAGTCAAGTCTCACGATAAATGATGGGATGTTAACTAACTGCTTTCGCACTCTGTAAAAGTAAAATATTATAATGATCCAATAAGTAAAAAATTTATGATTGTATAATATTACTAAAAAATCATATTTGTTGCACGAGAAAAGGCCAGTACTAATAAGAAAATTACTAATACCGGTGAGTATTTATGCACTTTTTATTTTGCAAGGCTATATCAAATCACAGCAACAATTAACTGTTGATATAATAGTGAGGCCCTGCGTGTTAACTTTATATTTTATTTTATAATAATTTTTAAGTACCTAATATGCTTTTGTCGGATAAGAACACGAGCATGGTGAATAGACTTAGCGAGACCCAACTTAAACACTTGAGTTTGTAGACGTCTTTCCAAAAAATCTTCTACTTTTAAACCTAAAACATAATCTAGCTTCATTCTTCCTTCATCAAGTACTCCAATACGAACAAGGCGTCGAAGTAAAGCATTTCCTTCAAACAGACGACGTGCATCTTTTTCTGGAAGGGTTAGCAAATCTCTGGCTCTTTTCCTAATTTTAGCTAAGCAATACTTAACACGCCAAACTTCTCGTTTATTTCTGAGACCATATTCTCCAATTAACTTTAATTCCTGATCTAAACGCGCCTTTTCAAAAGGACGACGAGGACTTACGTAGGTTTTGGAGCAAACCGCCCTGACCATGCTGCTTTCTTCACAAGGCTAGTTAAAAAGAACACGTCAACGGTTGGTACTTTTTTTATGTATCAGCGTTGCTCTGCATGCTCGTTGAACCAGATATAACTATGAGTAAAGTTACATTTATTTATTATCAATCGAGGCAAACAAATTTTTAATACATAAAATAAAAAAACCACACTCACCACAATAAAGTTTAAACGACACTATCTAAATTAGATTGAGAAAGTTAAGCACTTACTCGAAATTAGCTTAAAATACGTAAATGACATATTTTTTCGCTCTCCGAGAATTTTGTTTTGTATATAAATACAAAATTATAATTTTGCCATTTAATTTTTAAAAGTAGCCATTATTTCAGTAAATAAAAAATCATAAAAAACCTTCAGTTGACGATTTATAATATTTATTATATGTCATCAACTATAATTATAAGTTAATGTTTTTTATATAAAAGTATGCTTTTTCATATATTAATGTTTTATATTTAATAAACTATAATAATTTCTATTTTCTTAATTTATTTTCAAAAGTTTATATTAAAATATTTTTATAAATTACTTAGATTATATATTACTATGTACTAGAGTGGAAAATGAATAATACCTGGGAAAAAATCATATAAAGTTAAGCTTCTGCACATAGGTTAGTTAGAATGTCAGCAATGACCAATATCCTGATCACAAAAACTCAAGGCGTTTTTGAGAACAAGAAATGCTATTTTTGACCTATTTTTCAAATACATATTTGGGAAAAATGAATAATTTTCTTTGTATTGTCAAAAATATTCGTTATACATATATTAATACATACATACATACAATCAACAGGTAGTTATAATTTTAAATCATTAAATTGTCTTACTATTTTATTTTTTTATTCCATCCCATAGCAATCCCCACATGCTGTCATACACTCCATGCAGTTTTTCCTACAAATGCATGTTTTTGTTTGGCATTGATTTTTTGAACTAGAACTATTGTTACATCAGTAACTGAACTAGATCTATTGTTACATGAGTTTGTAATCAAAATAGCTTTTAGCATCATCTTCTCTCTGTTCAATTGCTGCATCTTGTAAATAGTTTAGTTGATTAGATAAAAGTTGAGTTTTTTTTTTAGTTAGATCTATCACAGGAAAGTTCTATGATGTTGTTTATGATTTTTGCTGCAGCTGCAATGATGTTTTAGATATTTTTTTTTGACTTATTTCTTAAATATTTTCCATAATGAACCAAACCATGTTTTTGAAGCAAATAATGTATTGTTGACCTAGTGCTTCTGAAAAAAATATATGATTACCATTATATTCTACAATCTTGTTTTTCATATGTTTAATGGAGTAACATTGAGAGTCTTAACTAAGTTCTTACATTTCATTGTGTATCTCTTTTAATGTGCAAAGGTCACAATCAGCATTTTTTACTAACCAATCACAAATCTTGTTGAAATTAAGAAGCGTCAAATCATCTGTTGGGCAATCCTTTTTAATTCCAGTAAGTAGATAAAGTTTGAATTTGTTTATACAAGGAATGTGATAAACTGCTTCTTCTGCAACAAGATCATTACAACTTAATAATAATAAACAACCTAAAACTTCTCTTCCCGATTCATCAGCTCTACTTTTACATTAGTTAAGAAGCTTATTTTGAAGTAGCAAAATTCTCACTTGAGTAACAAAATTGTTTCTACCGTCAACTGATTTGATACAAATAAACTAGTATACAATTTTAATGTAAACATGCCATGCAGTTTGAATCTGTTTATAATTAAAATTTGATACTGTTTTACTATATAATTATAAACTGTTTTACTATATAAAATAAACCTATTTAAATCGTATAATCATCTTTTATAGCAGATTCTCTTTTTTAAAGAAATTCTTTTTTTGTTTAGAATCCTTTCTATATATATATATATATATATATATATATATATATATATATATATATATATATATATATATATATATATATATATATATATATAATATATATATATATATATATATATATATATATATATATATATATTAACAAAATTGTTTCTACCGTCGAGTAACAAAATTGTTTCTACCGTCAACTGATTTGATACAAATAAACTAGTATACAATTTTAATGTAAACATGCCATGCAGTTTGAATCTGTTTATAATTAAAATTTGATACTGTTTTACTATATAATTATAAACTGTTTTACTATATAAAATAAACCTATTTAAATCGTATAATCATCTTTTATAGCAGATTCTCTTTTTTAAAGAAATTCTTTTTTTGTTTAGAATCCTTTCTATATATATATATATATATATATATATTTATATATATATATATATATATATATATATATATATATATATATATATATATATATATATATATATATATATATTATAGTATTAAAGTATTTTTACTAAAATTAATTTATTACTATACAAATTATTTGTAATAATGTTAGATTTGTACTACAATAAATATTTGCGTTACAAAGTTTTTTCTTCAACATAATTTATTTGAAAAGTGTTGCTGCAGTACAAAACTATTCATTCAAACTGTACATAGTTTAAATAAAAAAAGTAATAAAATAAATAAAATTACTACTGCTATCCTAAAGCAATTATTGTATATTCATTACTAATTTTACTGAGCATTTCAGGGCTCAAATTAAGGCAAAAAAAATCTAATCGCGAAAAAGGAAAAAATATTTGGCATCCCCCCTCCCCTTATCTCAGGCGCCGCTTTACAGTAATGCAAGGGGAGGGGGTATAATTTAAAGCTTAGCTTGCAGTTATAGTGTAATGAGCAGGTGTTAAATACTATTAAGATATTACTTTCAGTAATTTTTTTACTTAACATAATACTTAAAAAGGTAAAAGTAAAAAACTAAGAGTAAAAACACAAATATTACAATATTTTAACCACTTTAATAACTTAATAAAAACTATTCATTATGCTCATGCTGACAATAAAATAGGTGTTTTATCATGTTATTATGTGTTAACAATATATAAGATATAAATAGAAACATTTATATGTTTAATTTTTGTAATTCTTTGAGTATATTAGGTAAATTTTATAGTTGAATAACTGTAAGTTACTGCAGTAACTTAACTGGTTGTTTTGATTTATTTTAAAGGTAATTTTACTGAGATGTACTTAATCCACTCACTAAATAAAACTAAATATAACTTTAAAACAATATTAACTTCCACACAGAAATTTAAAGTGATTTAAATTCAAAAGCTGTTGAATAAAATCTGACGTAGTTTATGACATCTAATAAAAAAACGAAAAATGCTAAATTAGGAAAGAAAAAAAAATTGACAAAGTTAAAACAAATTAACAAACAAACAAACAAATCGAGGAAATATTTTTTTAAAGAAAAAATGAATCGAGAAGATGTAAAAGACAATTGTGATTTGAGATCACGGTACGCATAATTAGAGCCCTGCATTTAATTAGAGCCCTGCATTTGCTGGCGTCCTAATTAATCTATGCGCAGAAGTTTATATGATTTTTCCAGATCTGGGAATGTTTTCAACTAATTCCATCATAATAGTAGAAAAGTTCATAGAACCTCATCTATAAATTTACAATAAGAAAAGAAATAACTAATACTTTAAACTGTATTTACATTAGAATATTTCGATTAATTGTTAAAATATTTTGTATGTGAAAAAATGTGATGAATGATTTGTAAGAAAACCTTTATGAGTAATATATCATGAGGCTGGGCATTTAACAATTAATGAGGCTATTCAAAACACCTTTAAAAAAGCATAACAAAACTTGTATCACAATGGATAGTCAGCAAATAAACTGATCGACATTGAATAGATAGAGTTAAAGCAAATAAAAAAAAGTTTAGCACTGTTCAGAAAAAGCCATTGCAGACTGTAATGAGTTTTTATTTTATTTTAGGCAAGTTGACTAATCCTAGTTGTTACACATAGTTGGGTTACACATTTGAGCAACCTAACTAGTTTTTTTTAAAAAAAGGTAGAAATTTCTACCTTTTTTTTACCTTTGATAAAATATAATTTTCTACTTTCTGAGGTAAAAAAACATACCATTAAGATAAAAATTATAAAACAAATTATTTTTAATATAATTTTCTACCTTAGAAGGTAGAAAATTATACTTTACTAAGGATATATCACATATCCTACCCTAATGTAGATATTTTTACCTTTTTTTTTTTTAAAGTGTAGTAATTGATAATTTTTTTGGCAGAAATTGATTTAAAGTGTTTTAAGTGATTTAAATATAAATGGAACCTTCTGATAATCCTTTTGATAATGAATTTGTTTATATTTTAATTTGCGTGTTAGTGTAATTGTGTGTGTAGTGACATAGGAGTTATTTGAAAACAGTTGTTAAAATATATATAATAACTCAACATGTTAACTTACAAATGCTAAATTTTGCAATGTTTATTAGATTTCTATGAAAAGTCAGAAAATCTAAGAAGATAAATTAGAGGACTCAATAAGAGATTTATTAATATTTATTTACTTTATTAATATAACAATTTATTATTTTTTGTTTATATATAATGCTGCATACTTGAAGAAATATATCAATTTTTAATAAAAAATGTAACCCTAATTTTGGCTCATTTTTCTTAGTTTATTATAATTTTTTTTATATATAAAAGTTGCTTACAAGAACTTTTTTAATGAAACACTTCTTATCATGAAAAAGTGTTTGCTAGAAAAAAAAAATTTCATGATTTTTTTAAAAAACAATTAAATGTTCTTCCGCAGTTAATTTAATAGTATATATTTATTTAATATATGTTTAAGATTTGTCTTTTTTTTAATTTTATGATTTTCAAGAATGTCTTTTACTTTGGGGTTATACATTGCTAATTATTAGCTTTTATTACAAATTTTGTTTTACAAATAAATTTGTATTAAACCTAATAATGTGTTGTAATTTAAAGTAAAATTACCACAAAAAAAAATAGTGCACAAAAGACAAATTTCTTCATATCAAAATTTACTATCAATAATTTTATTAAAGATTAAATTATAAAATTTCAGTGAACAATAATACTACAGAACATTGTTTCTACATTTATTGATAAATTATTCATTATTTATTTAAAACATTAATAAGATTTTTGTGTTATTGTATGTTATTAAATGCAAATAGGCTGGGTGAATAAAACAGAGTAATTGCTTTTTTTGCGCTTGAAAGCTTTTACTTTGAGCAATTGCTCATATAAGAAAAAAAGGCATGAATAAAAAAGCTTTAATTCATAAAAAAGAGAGCAATTTTTGGACAATTAAACATTCATTTTATTATTTTACTATTATATTAATATTTGACCTGAATGTGTTTGAGGTCGGCAATTTTTTGCCGACCTCGTTTCAACCTCAGAGTCGCTAAACAAAATCGCGACTCCGACTCCAATAGTAAAACTTCTCGGTATTGCACATGCATGTACAAAACATTCAATTAACCTTATGTCCATACTAAACCTCAAAGAACGTTTCATAAGTTTGCTAAAAAAAAATTTTTAACTTAGTGCGTTATATTTTTTAGAGAATTCAAAGAGTTTTTAAAAAATTTTGTTTTGGAGTTAGAGTCGGAGAAATTTGAAATGTGTTAATAACCTATATAAATAAAGTAGTAGTCAAACATATAAACATTGCATATGAAACATTTATTTCTTTTATTGTTACTACTAAGTAATTTTAATGAAGATACACTAAATTTAAGTTTGATATTTTTTAGCACTAGAGGCCTTAAAAAATTATCAGTAGTACTATTTATGTTATCAAAATAATATTTTTCTATTTTTAAACAGGAAATAATAATTATCAATTTTTTTTTTGTACATTAGAATATTTTGATTAATTTTAACAATTAATCAAAATATTCTAATGTAACTATTATAGTCAATTTTTTATGGAGATTTTTCATAGGAAATTAAATGTTTAAAATATTAAACTTAAATTTATTGTATCTTCATTAAAATAACTTAATTAAAATAACTTAACAATAAAAGAAATAAATATTTCATATGCAGTGTTTATATGTTTAACTACTACTTTATATATATATATATATATATATATATATATATATATATATATATATATATATATATATATATATATAGATATATATATAGATATATATATATATATAGATATATATATATAGATATATAGATATATATATAGATATAGATATAGATATAGATATATATAGTTAAACATATAAACACTATATATATATATATATATATATATATATATATATATATATATATATATATATATATATATATATATATATATATATATATATATAGTTAAACATATAAACACTGCATATGAAATATTTATTTATTTTATTGTTAAGTTATTTTAATGAAGATACATAAATTTAAGTTTAATATGTATGTATATGTATGTATGTATATAAAAATATATACATATATAAATATGTATATATTTTTATATACATACATACATATACACAGGCATTTTTTATCATTTTTTATCATTATTTTTATTTTAGTTATTATTATTATCAGTCTGATTTTACCCTAAAAACATCCATTTTTAAACGAAAAAATAAAAGCAAACGATTTCTATTGTTAGTGGCATAAAGCATTTACTCTTTAGCGGAAGCTTATGAGTAAAAGCTTAAATTTTTTCAAGTATTTTTTTAGCAATTGCTATGAGCATATGCTTTTTAGCTTTTACTTTTACTCAAAGCATGCTTTTTTTTATTCACCCGGCCTATTGTTTTCAATGACAGATATATAATGAGTAGGGTAATGCAATATTATATAACTTAAAGATGTAATAAGCTATTTATTATCTGTTAGTGCATCTGTGAATAAAACAAGTCTTTAATGCATTGTGATTGAATATATTATTTATTAAAAAAAAAAAGAGAACCAACATTACAAAGGTAAAACAATGGTTGAAGGTTGACTGCAAGAGCAGGTCTAACTATGTTTACAATGCAATATAGCAACAGTATTCCATACAAGGACAGATTTGAGATTTATAGAAATAAAGAAGAAAGCTTATGGCGAAGACCATTATGCCAAACTTTATCAAAGGCTTTAGAAATGTCAAGAGCGATAGCCATAAGATGAGAGATTGAGTGTTTGTTATTTAGAGACTCAAAAACTTTGTTTATGATATGAAGAAAGCTAATCAGGTGTTAGTTTGACAAGTCAGATCTCTCTCCAGAATTTTTGAAAATAGAGATAACACATGCTGCTTTTCAGCAGGCTAGAAAAATGACTCTGATAAGCACTTGTTTAATAGTTTTGAAAGTATAGACGATAATTTATATAAAGTGGAGATAGTAGAATAATTCTATTTTCTTTCGACAGCTCAAGAGAACACTTCTGCAAGACTATAACAGATATGTTGTCCACAAGCTGTAGAAGAGTCTAAGCAGGAAATCACTTTAGATAAAGAAGCTGGAGTAAAGCAAATATCAAGCAATGAATCGACCTGTTTGTCGGCTGTATGAGGTAGGATGTGATTAGTGGAATCAAGAGATAATGTTGATAAAAAGTACTTAGAAAACAATTCAGCTTTGTCCAGGTGAGGTAATAAAATCTGAACCATGCAAGAGAGGAGTAATGACAGATTTGCCTTTATTATAGACACTGTTAAAGATTCTCCAGATGTGTCAGGAGCCTAATTTTTGGTAAGTTTTAGCTTTAAGTTAGTTGTAAGAAGTACAATTATAGGAGGATTCTGATGATGAAGAAGAATGAGATAGTAGTTTTAAAGAGAAGAATGATAGAGTACGTGGAGTATATAAAAGAATAGTCTGTGGATTCAAACCTAGTTTCCTAACAAATGGGTGAGTTCTTACAAATTTTAATTAATTATAGATTTACAGAACTTGGTTGATGATGGTTTTTTGTGTGTTATAGATTTTGATACTTAAGTCATTTTTAAGGAACTTGACTCAAAGCATAGATAGTACTTAGTACACTATCTAATAGCTCAAGCAATTGCCTCATTACTATTATATTAAATTATATTAAACCCTACTTCTAATAAGGGCTCCAAATGTGTCCTCGACAATGCACAACAAAAGTACGAACAAGGACACTATCCATGCGCAACATGGCTCTGTTAGTACTCTGATACTTTACAGTTGTTGATGGAATCAGCCTCTCTGAGAGCTACGTCAGAGTTCGAGAAACCTGAATAGCTGCCGGCCTCAGAACAATAAAACTGAGTTTTAGAGCTGTACCCACATTTGGAGATAATAAAATGAGTTGCCTTATCATGAAAACAGAGACATAAGCAAAATCCATGAATCAATAATGAATCAAGAAGATCCAGCATTCAATATCGTAAACCGGAAGCAATGTATTTTAAATACACTGTAAATGTTTTATAATTATAACTTAAAATATCTATAGCAAAAATGAGTAAGTATTTTGATAACCAGATATTAGTTTAACAAGCAATTTTGCTTGTCTAAAAGAGGTTGACAAATGTTAATGAGTTTTTCAATCAATTTATCGCAGGGTGTTATATATATATATTTGTTTGAATTTGCTATGAAATAAATTTATAATACAATCATGAAATGTGCATAAAGTGCAACATGAAATTAAAATTTAAAGTTTTGGTCTCATGCAATTGTAATTCCTAATGTTTGAACAATCATAAATATAATTGTAAGTATTCAACATTTGGTTATAATTGTAAATAGATTTACATATGTTAATAAGTTTAACAACAAATTTGTTATTGTTATGTAACTCAAAACTTCAATTGTTTTTAATTTTTTCAATATGTTTAAATTGACAAGATTTAAAAGAAACTGATACTTAATACTCTGTTTTTAGAACCAAAAATTTTTTAATTGGTGTTATCTTTAAATAGGTTTCAGTGTATAGAATGTGGAAATAGAATTTTTTTTTAATTTTTTATTTTAGGTGTCCCAAGATGTCTTTACGAACGTATCACAGTACCGCGGAAGAGCATTTGAAAGGAAGTTTACGCCTCCTTCCTTACTGATAAAACTTGTCCAGAGGCGGCGTTAAACCACGGATCTCTAGCTTCTGAGGCAAGCGTGATTTGTGAAGAATTAACTAAAAAAAAAATTTTGTGTGACTTTAGCAGATGGGCTCCTTAATTACTTTTAAGTTAAAATATTGTTTAATTAAATATTGTGCAGCCCTGGCTCAATAAGCGACATTGGTAAGATGAGTAAACTCCCTAGTTAAATGCTCTTCTGCGGTGCTCTGTGATAAGACCTAAGGACTTTTGGGAGAACTTTAAAAACAACTATATATATATATATATATATATATATATATATATATATATATATATATATATATATATATATATATATATATATATATATATATTTATATATATTTATATATATATTTATATATATATTTATATATATATTTATATATATTTATATATATATTTATATATATATATTTATATATATATATATATATATTTATATATATATATATATATTTATATATATATATATATATATATATATATATATATATATATATATATATATATAATATATATATATATATATATATATATATATATATAATCAAAATGTTATTTATATTTACTATTTATAAAGTTGTATAAAAATATCAAGCCAAGATGACTAAGGATTTGATGTCATGTTAATTTGAGTCATGACTTGAAAATTTTAATGGTAACGTTAATTTTAATGGTAAAATTTTAATGGTAATGATCTTGCTATATCATCGTTATTTACAAGTCTATTCCTGTCAAGCTTAATAACATCAAATATTACCGCAAAATAGCATCGTTTTAGATTTCCTGCAGACAAATGATTGCAACTGAGGATAGCAACTGAAGAAGTTGAAATAGCATTATAAATTGTGGTATACCGAAGCTTTAGTTTTCAAGTATTTTTTTTGTATTTAGTTTTTTTTTTATGTTATTTTTTAACAATTATAATAAACTATTTGTTTGAGAATTTAATAATATTGGTACTTTGTTTTTAAAGTTGCTTTGAGGTGATAAATATGTAACAAAGTATAGTAATGAATAGTTTTCCTTCTCTGGGCTTCTATTTCAATCCGGCTATGGTTTTTTTCACATATTTACGATTTATATACTTTATTGAGTCACCTTGTGTTTTTGGTTAATGCTTTTTTCTAATGCTTGTTTGTTATGTGCAAAATATGGCACACTGCATGGTATATCCGAATAAATGTTATTAATAAATATTTTTAATCTTTATTTTTTCGGAAGTATATATGCTATGAATTATTATATTATTTAAATCTTTATTTTTACTTTATAAAGTTAGAATAAAAACGGATAAAAGTACTAAAGAAGAAATACGATACAAGTTAAAGTAGAATTTCGTTATGCGATCATGCTGGCGTAATGGGGGAATTACTGTGGCAGAGTATAAATATTGCCAAACAGTTTTGAATGAAACTATTGTATAATAATAGTTTTGTGTTGCTTAAAATTATTATGAAATTCAAATTTGTTTTTTAAACTGTTTCATATAAATTATGTCAGAAAAAATATTCATGCAAATGAATATTCGGTCTGTATTTGCCTAATACAGTCATTGCCTTTAATACAGTCATTGCCTTTATTTACCTTTACAGCGAATTTAATATTAATAGTACTTTAACTTTTTTATGATAAATACGAAATGCGACACTTGATTGAAAAAAATACTCCCAAATCCGCAAAAAAAAAAAAACCGTTGGGTCTTAACTTGGACCCAGTTGCGCTTGTTAGCTAGGATATTACTTGGCTTGGTTTAAAAGTTATTCGCACTGATCTCAAAATATAACTGGATAGCGGATTCTATTGTTCTTTCCGAAAAAAGTTGAAGCCAAAACTGGCCTCCCAAGATGGCGGCGATTTAAGTTCCTAGCGGTGAAACCAATATAGATTTTATATGGCTTTATCAAACTACAATAGAAAATAATTAAATAAGGCTAATAAATTTGTCAAAAATAAAAGAAAACAAAGAGAAAAATGTTAGAGAAAAAAAAAAAAATATTTTTTGAATAATTCAATTTATTATTAAATGGCGTTTACAATTTTAGTTGAATTTTGTATATAATTTATGTACCTTTTAGTTCTTAGTTACCCAATGCTGTATGCTAGAAGGTTAACAGCAACATAACAGCATGGTAAGCAGCAATCATCTTTACCTACAATTTACATTCTCTGTTTTTTTTAGCAAGATACCATTTTGTACAAATGTTGCATGAACTATCAACTGAGTCAGTATACAGGGGTATACAAACTCAGGGGTTCTTTCTAGAAATATATTATAATTCTATTATTGCATAAATTATTTGAATATAACATTACAAAGTGTCGCTTATGCTGGTAAAAAAAAAAACAGGTCTGAATTATAGTTATTTATATCAACTAAAAAAATAAAAAGTAAATAATCATTTATAATTTAAAGGATACTCACTCAATAGAATTGAGTGATTATCCTTTAAATGTTTAGTGATTCTAGTAAAGTGCAACCAAATAAAAAATAAAATACATATAATTATATATAAAAAAAATTCTAGAAGGAACCCCTGAGTTGTGTGTACTCACAGAGCTCAGCTAAGGGGTTGTCCATTAATAACGTCAACAAAATAGGGGTAAGGGGTCTGAATTTTTTTTGACAATTGTTGACAAGGGGGAGGGGTTTTTCAAAAATTATGACCATATAAAGTTTAAACCCCCCTCAGTTTGAGGGAGTTGCAAATTTTATTTGGTCATAATTAATGAACGCTGAGAGATAATACTATGAAACTTAAAATTTATCGATAAATATAAATCTAGTTGAAAATAGTACAAAAGCTATTTCATCAACTTATTGCTCTCACGTTTGGGGCAGTGTCGGCCAAATTTTTTGGGTTTTTTGTTCCCAAGCTCCAATAATCGTAATTTTTTGCAAAGCATCCTTATTTACATAAGTATAAACTTATAAATGTTTGGAGTTTGCTCCATGTCTAGAAGTTAGCTATCTCAAAACCAAAAAATGCTGGCGCCGCCACTGTGTGTAGCATCTTTCATTTTGATTTCAAATATGCAACTCATTTTCATCACTTCAAGTTGTAAAGATATTTTGGTTTAAACCTTTAGTATTTGGGATAGATTCCCTAATATTGTCACACAAAAAAATTATTCAAAAATTATGTCAACCTGGATCTCAAAAAAAGCGTATTTTCATAGAAATCTTAGAAAACTTTAATTATGCCATCTCTTGGAAAAAAAAGTGAATAAACCACAGTATCTAAATTAGCTAACATACTCAATATAACTTCTAAATAAACTTTCGGGTAAATAACTTCCCTAGAAGCATGTGGAACACCATCTTCTCTAATGATTACAACTTCACTAACTATAATTTGCAAATAAAGCATTAAATTATTTAAGTTCATCGTTATGTTATTGTTTTCTAAAGTTTACTGCCGTAAGTGGGTCAGAGATATACGGCTGATAATGTTCGTGGAATATCTTGATCTGGCCTAAAATTATCTACACAATAGAAAAACTTGATCACATGTTTTAAAACGTGGCAGTCTATGATTATATAACTTCCTTTAAATCTTGTAAAGCTTGCGAAAATAGTGAAAATAAGTAAAACTACCTTCCCATTATGGCAATATAAAAAATATGTTTCATCAAACCCGCCTAACCATGATGTTATAATTTAAGTATAAATTAATTTCTTCTTGCAAAGCAGCATTTCTTGCATTTTGACCACAACTAATTTAAGCTTGCCTAGTTCTAATCATTTCACTAAAGTATCAACTATTTTTAAGCTGATAGTATTTTTTTAATAACTTATTTAAGCCTAATTTCATCCATTTCAATTTCACTATCAATAAACATTTTAACAGTAGTATTACTACTGTGGTAACAAATAATCTACTCATATCTTTATCTACAGCCTTAAAACTACGAGTTTTCTCACGTAAACCTATGACATAGATGTATTAACTTGAAAAAGAACTATTTCAGTGCGTTACAATTAGGGCTGTACCGGATTTCGGCTCCGGCTCCTGCTCCGGCCGAAATCCGGCCATTTTTACAAATCCGGCCCAAATCCGGCTCCGGCAAAAATTTAGCAAATCCGGCATAATTTTAGCCGGAGTTTTGAATTTTGTCAAATATTTATTACATTTTTTTTGCCCGTGTTTACATGTATACCTAATATTTTATAAAAATCAATTTTTTTTGTAACTCTATTATGTATCGTATTTTATGAACCTCATATTTGTTTTGGTATTTGTATTTATATTTCTTTATAATTTAATAAGCTAAGTCTAATTTAAAACAACAACGCAACAAAAAATTCTGAAGGGAAGACACACGATATTCTAAAATGATGCAGATATAAAGACTATGATGTCAACCCTAATCAAGTGATTGGATGAGCGTTTTAAAAGCATTGAAAAGAGAAACCTCTTTATATACTGACGAGGCTGGTTTACTCACAATTTAAAACTAAATACTCCTCATTACAGGCAACACTGACAGCTGAAAAAACAAGATTGAAGTCATCTGAGCATGCTGAACAGAAGATTGATAAAACTGAAGAAAATCCACCAAAATAAGCTGGGCTTAATAATTTTTTTACATCATCATCATCATTACTCTGGCAATTTATTGATAAAATTATTCAGTCTACGTCCGCTGGTGGCAGGGCACATAAACAACAATTACTAAAAGGCATTGAAACTCAGCTAAGGAAATATCCTAAAGAACCAGAAATAAATAGACACAATGATCCACTACAGTGGCGGAGTGACAAAATCCCGGAAAAAAAGTTTAATAGAATTACTATAAACTTTTAAAACATATGGCCTATAGAATTTCTTTAGAATTTCTATTAATTTATATATAGAAATTGCTATAAAACTTTTTAATAACAACAATGAAGTTTAACAGAAAACAGCAGTCACTTAGTATTCTGAATAGTCCACATTGTTATGCATGCTCAACACCAATTAGGGATGTACAGGATTTTGGCTCCTGTAGTTTTGTTTTGAAATCCGGCTCCGGCTCCGATTCCGGCCAGATCTGTCAGTAGAAATCCGGCAAATCCGGCTCCGGCAGGATTTGAAAAAATTTAATCCGGTACAGCCCTAGTTACAATATATATAATTGTTTTGTAATTAATTCATATTCAGTGATTTAAATTTACCAATAAATTTTGAAATCAAAATATACCTGCAAATTGACCAGTAAATTTTATCTTAAAACAGGTTAATTTTGAAATTATAAATAAATTCCTTATTCAAATAAAATACCATGGTGAGGATCCATTATAAAAATGTTAAACTTTACTGGTAAATTTACAGGTAAAGTTACCTGTAAATTTACGCAATTGTAACACTAGTTCATATTTACAAAGTCATATTTTTAACACGTCAATATTTTATAATATTCCTGCTAATTGTCTCCTTCAATGTTTATCCATGAATGACCGAAGTTAGAGTATTTCACAACTTCACTAGTTTTCAAAAGAAAGTAATGAATATTTAAAAATTAATAATTTTTTTTTTGTAGATATAATTAATTTGGTGATTCTTAATAATACTCAGGTTAATTTGATAATTTAACATTAATCTTAATACTTTGCTTATTTTTGAATTTTAATAGTTTTTTTTTTTTTTTTTATGTTGATTTAGGTGCCCCAAGAAGTCCTTAAGGTCTTATCACAGAGCACCGCGGAAAAGCATTTAATAGGAAGTTCACGCCTTCTTCCCAACCGATGTCGCAAAACTTGCCCAGAGGTGGGGTTTGAACCTCGGCAAGTGCGTTTAAATTGTTTGAAGGCAAGTTTAAATTGTTGTTTTGCTAAAGAATTATTTCATCAGGTTGCAAATAAAAATTAATATATTTTTTATAGATTTGTATCTACAAAGTAATAACAAATATTATTTAAGGAAAAAAAGTTTGTAAAATTTGAGTATTGCATGCTTTTAATATTTTTTATTAAATGACCGAAGTTACATGGTAACCGAACTTTGGCGATTTTACGGTATATTCTTTAGAGGAAAGACTAAATTATGATAATCTGCAAAAATAAATATAAATATTATAATAATTCAGCTGCAAAAAACACATGCTCAACGTATGTAACCTTCCCATTTTTTCCCCGTTTTTTTTGTTTGTTTGTTGGAGTATTTTTGTTTTTTTGTTTTTTTTGTTTTTGGTTTGTTAGTCTCTATCTAATTATATTTTTTATAAATTTTAACAGTTTTTATATGCTAAGTATCTTACGGTAAATATTACGGGGTTTAGTAAGAAGACAATTTTAGTCTTCTTTTTTGCCCCGGTCATGTCATATCTTTAAAAGTAATAATGTTAAAAAGTGTAAACACTCAAATGTTTTCAAGATTTTTGAATTACTCTATAATAGTTTTTTTTTTTTTTTGCTGGAATTTAATAAAAAGCTTAATTTGAAGTAGATTCGAAAGTTATTATCATAAACTAAAATTATCTCAAAT